AACCCCCCCCCCCCCCCCCCCCCCCTTCCAACCCCCATATAGGCCTTGTGCCCGTAGGCCTATGTTGAGAGTGGTATAGCTCTTTCAGTTTTCAAACGATTTTCGCAATTTTCGATTTTCGTACGACATTGTATGTAGGCAGGCCTATATGGTCTAACAATGAGGATCTCGTTTCACCAACCGGCCATATTTGATCCACTATCTTTAAATTTACTGTGGTTTAATCTGTTCTATTGCAATCATATTTGTATCTTTTGCACTTTTTCGTCCCAGAATTTATTGTCACATTTATGTAGTCACAAAGTCAAAGCTTTTCAGGAAATTTTCTAATTAGGCCTATCTTCTTTGAGGGTAGCCTGATTTAGGCCTAAAACTTGTATAATGGTGAATTTTATTGTAACAGTAATGCTATATCCCTGTAAATTTCGGGGTAATATTTGGCGCGAATCTAGCAATCATGTTATTTGTTCTGTCAAGAATTAAAGGCCCCCTTCCGTGTAATTTACTTCACAAACATGTGAATTTGGCAATTTTTTCCCATGGTAACTTAACGAAATATACTTTATTCGTTGATCCAAAGATTTTTGAACAGGTTTTAGACTTTACAAGGGATTTTTAAGTCCAGTACCTATATTCAAAATTCTTTCAACCAGCCACTCTGAAATATTGGTGGATCTTTTCCTTTAATAATTTATCAACTTTCACCAAATTGACGAGAAGGTGACAGTTTAAAACCATCAGAAACTCAAAACAATTTTTTGGCGGGAAGAGTTGACACGTAGAGCACGAGGATCCCGAATTCTGGCTGCTGATTGGCTGAAATTCAAATTGTCAGTCAAAAAGTGGGAGGAGTTTAACGTAAAATCATCGTTTGCATATCCAAGGGTGCGCAATTCTGAGCGGGATTTCGGTCTTATCAGTCGTGACTTATGACTTATGATATATTCTATATTGGATTCTGGATGGTTTTGAATTATTTCGATATATTCAGTGCTAAATCTTTGACTAATATCTGTGGATTGGGATTGGGATACTATGTGTATTATTTTGGATGGTTTTAGATTATTTTGTGATTTTTCTATAAAATAATGGATTCAAACTTTTTGAAGGAGTGACAAATATTGGACACTTATTCACAAGAAGGTAAGCCATTTTCTTCATTCAAATTTTGATTGGAAACTTGTAAGGAATATAAAATTGTTTTCTAGAAATAGGGACACCGATAGCATCGATTTGTACCATGTCAATTTTCAGTCAGACCTCTGTTTTATTTAGTTCTACCAAACGTGTTTTTAAAGAGATTGTAAAGAGATTTTCTAAATCTATTATGTGTATAAGGGAGTGACTCTGATAGCATCAATTTGCAACATTCCAATTTTCATTCAGACGTATATGACTCCTGCAATTCCACTAAACCTCTGTTTTTGATGACGTCACCATAGCGACTCTATATATTATATATCAGTATTATGTTACGTAGGTCCCTTTGATTGGAATGGTGCAAATCGATGCTATTAATGTGCCCGATACACGTAAAAATCGGTTAACAACCTCTTTAAATTATTTATGAAAATTGATAATCGTGGACGCCATGCAGTGTTCAATGGAGGGAAATTTGTCAGGTCAGGGCTTAAGTGCACTTGAGGAGGGGGGGGGGGGGGGGTGGTTGAGGGGGTGTATAATACTCGAGGTTTAAATATTATCGGTTAGTTTAGACTTTTCTCAATCTAGATTATTACGCGCGTGACCTTGAAAATTTAGACTCTATGTCACGAGAATAAATATGACAAATATAAGATATTTCATGACTTCAAAAATAACATGGAAGATATCAGGAGTATCATTATGGCCAACTTTTGTTTGTATTTATATTTTGCACTGGTATTTAAATTACAATTCAAGAATCATTTAGTTTAATGATACTCTTCAGAACCATTACATTAAAGGTATTAAAGGGATGGTGTCCTATAATTGTTAGTTTAGTGACATTAAGGTAGGGGTGAGGGTAGACAGGTTTCGAATTAGGAGGTGGGGATGTTTATTAGGTCATATCTATGCAAGCTTCCTATTGTGAGGATTAAGGTTTTTGTCTTGTGATTTATGAGAAAAGTATGACAGCCCTTTAATACTTAGTAAAATTTTACTTTTTGAAACAATTCACAACACAATGTTGTTTGTATTCTAAAAATTATTATTCTTTTTACAGTGACAGCAGTTCAGAGAAGTTATTAGTATGCAAAGTTTTTAATCGCTTTTGACAAACAGATCTTGTTTTATATGTGGTGAGTTTTTTTTATAATTAACTTTCTGGTTTTTCTGAAAACTACTTGATTTATTTCTCAGGTATTCCAACTGTTAGGCCTAGGTTTAAGCAAGGGGGAATCTTGTGAATTTTTGTGGTCTGGTGCAAGTGAAAAAAGACTTTTGACATGATTCAAATGCAGATGTTTTTTTTTTTTGCAGGTGAATCCACTAACCCTGATTGAACAAACTTCATCTATATTTGGTGATTGTGTTTAGAATGAATGACCATCAAGAGTTGTCATAATTTATGCTAACCAATCCAAAGTACTTATAAAAATGGTAAGACACTACATCTACTAGTCCATTTAAAACAATAGATACCCTGCAATTCCTGACATACAGCAAGGAAATCTTATATGGTACACAATATTTGATACATACATTACTTACTGTGTATTAGTGGGTTGAATACTAAATGGCCCAGAACAGGACATGAATAACAAATTTGTCAGATCATGTATTCTAAGAGTGGAGTCACTTGCATAAAATAATAGGAAACATCCCTGTTTTTTTGCTATTTAATTTGAATAAATGATTTATTACAGGTATGAAATCTTATCATCAGTTAGAAACTTGTTGGTCTATAGATATCAAATTATGTTCCAGTGAGCTGTTAAATGGTGAGTCTTCTTTATCAGTCAACAAACTACCTTGCCCTCCAAGATTGATAAGTGACCCTTTCTTTATTCGTGCCACCTTAAGGGATGTCCCTTATGCCATTGGTTGTGCTTGCTTATTGAGGAAATTAACAATGAGAAAGCTGATGCTTCTATCATCAAAAATTGCCCTTATTGTACACTGCATACTGCCTTTGTTAACCCAATCAGGTACAGAAAAGTACGACTTAAAACCCTATTTCATATTATATCTATATACATACTGAAAGGGATGCAGTTTGGTTGTGAAATATCCCTTTTTTTTTTTTTCTTTTTTTAATTTAGTAAATTTTACCTTCATTTTCTATTGCAGATATTGAATGTTGTCAGTTTAATTATTGAAATACAACATGTGTTTCAACATCTTGATAATTGGTGAGTTTCTCATAATTAAGTTGATATTTTTGTAAAATATTCCATTTGGAACAGACTCGCTGACAGTAACACCAATATTTTTACTTGTAAACACTAATTTTGTAGAGCTGAGCTCTTTATTCTGAATAGTGAGACAACTTGATCTTTTTAAAATATTTAACGCTACTATTGTCTGACTCTTCTTGAGTCTCAAGAGTCATTTGTATGTATGATATTGCCTCAAGTTCACTTATTTTCACTTATTATTGTAGGTAGATCAATTCATGGCCTAGTTAGATCAACCGGAAAACACAGGTAGAGCTTTAAAAGTTATGTAAGTTATATTTTATTCTTGGGC